AGGGGTATACTTTCCACTATGGTATTTAGAAACAATAGTTCAGTCCTTGACATTGTGAACGTTTTATTCACAACACCTTTGTGTTAATGCAGGTAAAAAGGCATTATATGTGTGCATTGGACTTGATTGAGACTGAATTTACCTTGTATAGAATAGTCTAGAGTAAATGTTTAATTACCTGTTTGGAAGGATGAGGTGGATCTCTGGCTCCTTTCAGAGTCAGCTAAAGGCTGAGCCGGGATCATGTCACTCAGTTTCTGCAATTTAAAATACAACAATAACGTGTCAGAAATCCATTGACTTTCATGTAAGGGGACACACATTTTAGTAAAAAACAATTCACATGAGGATCTGGGCTGTAACTCAAGACTCTATAGAATAGTTTTGAACTGTACAATATCTGCTAGACCCAACATATGAGGGACAATGAAAACCACGACACATCTACACTTGTTGGGTTGTACCATATGGGGGGAGGTTCTCTGAAACACATCATGCTACACAACCTAAAGACGATATCTACTACCCACAATATGAGGACGATGTAACACACACACTCTACACTCGTTGTGTTTGTACCATATGGGGACGTTCTCTGAAACACATCATGACTACCCAACCTAAAGACGATATCTACTACCCAACAATATGAGGACGATGAAAACACACACACTCTACACTCGTTGTGTTGTACCATATGGGGACGTTCTCTGAAACACATCATGACAACACAATCTAAAGACGATATCTACTACCCAACAATATGAGGACGTTGTAACACACACACTCTACACTCGTTGGGTTGTACCATATGGGGACGTCCTCTGAAACACATCATGACTACCCAACCTAAAGACGATATCTACTATCCAACAATATGAGGATGATGTAACACACACACTCTAAACTCGTTGGGTTGTAACATATGGGGACCCCTCTAAAACACATCATGACTACCCAACCTAAAACAAAATGAGGACATGACGACTGAAGTTACATAAAGTCAGCATTCCTGACTTCTGAGGTGTGCTGTTGTTGTTAAAAAAACCTGAAACCCCCATAGTAATAAGTATGAATCTACTTCCCTATTAATTAGATCATGTAAACTGATACACATTAGGTTCAATTGGAAAACACATTGGCAAAAGGAGAAAACACACAGAATTTAGGGGCAATAAAGATCATTTTCATGTTTTAAGAGGTAGTTACTGCTATCAAATGGTAGGGGTATATCTTTGTACTATGATATTTAGAAACAAGTAACAGTTATATTGAGATTCTACATTTACTAAACAATATATTAATTTTAATTAGGTAAAAAGGCATTTTATGTAGGCATTGGACTTGATTGAGATATGAATTTACCTTGTATAGAAATAGTCTACAGTAAATGTTTAATTAACCCTTATGTTGTGTTCGGGTCTCCCGTGACCCGTTTCAAATTCAAATTATATAATAACTACGATCTAGTTTTTTTATCGGAACAAGGCATCATGATATCCTCCATAACAGCTATATAAACACTACAAAACTGATTTTGACAATTTTAACCAAGTCTGAATGTCTCTAAAAAAATAAGTGTATAATTTGGTGTTCGGGTCTGGTTAGACCGAGCAGAATTGTTGTGGGTGACTCGGGGTCAAATTTGGCCCAATCAAGATTCATCTTTGACTTTAGACACCCCACCCCCACCATCCACTGTAACAATATTTTTTGCGCAACATGCACCTTGTCTCCCATCCCTCTGGCCCCCCTCCCCCCACGGGGAACTTGACCTTTCACAAAGAATATGTACACTAACACTTGAAACCTGAACGTGTGCAATATGTTGTGTAATGTGTTTTGGGGCCATACAATAACATTACAACAGGATTGTATGGTTATGAATGCATTAGAAGTTAGTTATGATGTAGTTAAAACAATATTGGATGATAGTCATTATTTGTGAGTGTTTTGGACTGAGATAAATCATGAGTCAAAATTGACCCGCGAACACCATGAAGGGTAACAGCTTTCAAAACACAACATAAGGGTTAATTACCTGTTGGAAGGATGAGGTGTATCTCTGGCTCGCTTCAGAGTCAGCTAAAGGCTGAGCCGCGATCATGTCACTCAGTTTCTGGCAATTTAAAATACAACAATAACGTGTCAGAAATCCATTGACTTTTCATGTAGGGGGACACAGATTTTAGTAAAAACAATTCACATGAGGATCTGGGCTTGTAACTCAAGACTCTATAGAAATAGTTTGAACTGTAGCAATATCTGCTACCCAACAATATGAGGACCAATGAAAACACACACACTCTACACTCGTTGGGTTGTACCAAATGGGGGACGTCCACCAAAACACATCATGACTACACAACCTAAAACGATATCTACTAGCCCAACAATATGAGGACGATGTAACACACACACACTCTACACTCGTTGGGTTGTACCATATGGGACGTTCTCTGAAACACATCATGACTACCCAACCTAAAGACGATATCTACGACCCAACAATATGAGGACGATGTAACACACTACACACTCTAAACTCGTTGGGTTGTAACATATGGGGATGCCCTCTAAAACACATCATGACTACACACCTAAAACAAAATGAGGACATGACGACTGAAGTTACATAAAGTCCGTGTTCCTGACTTCTGAGGTGTGCTGTTTGTTGTTAAAAAAAAACTGAAACCCCCCATAGTAATAAGTATGGATCTACTTCCCCTATTAATTAGATAATGTAAACTGATACACATTAGGTTCAATTGGAAAACACATTGGCAAAAGGAGAAAAAACACAGAATTTAGGGGCAATAAAGATCATTTTCATGTTATAAGAGGTAGATACTGCTATCAAATGGTAGGGGTATATCTTTGTACTATGATATTTAGAAACAAGTAACAGTTATATTGAGATTCTACATTTATTAAACAATATATTAATTTTAATTAGGTAATTTGTAGGCATTGGACTTGAATTGAGATATGAATTTACCTTGTATAGAAATAGTCTACAGTAAATGTTTAATTAACCCTTACAGTATGTTGTGTTCGGGTCTCCCGTGACCCGTTTCAAAATTCAAATTATATAATAACTACGATCTAGTTTTTTTTATCGGAACAAGGCATCATGATATCCTCCACAACAGCTATATAACAAACATCTACAAACTGATTTTGACAATTTAAGCCAAGTCTGAAGGTCTCTAAAAAAATAAGTGTATAATTTGGTGTTGGGGTCTGGGGAGACCCAGCAGAATTGTTGTGGTGACTCGGGGTCAAATTTGGCCCAATCAAGATTCATCTTTGACTTTAGACACCCCACCCCCACCCCCTTCATCCACTGTAACAATATTTTGTTTCGCAACCATGCACCTGGTCTCCCATCCCCTCTGGCCCCCCTCCCCCCACGGGAACTTGACCTTTCACAAAGAATATGTACACTAACACTTGAACCTGAACGTGTGCAATATGTTGTGGTAATGTGTTTTGGGGCCATACAATAAAATTACAACAGGATTGTACGGTTATGAATGCATTAGAAGTTAGTTATGATGTAGTTAAAACAATATTGGATGATAGTCATTATTTGTGAGTGTTTTGGACTGACGATAAATCATGGGTCAAAATTGACCCGTCGAACACCATGAGGGTAACAGCTTTCAAACACAACACAAGGGTTAATTACCTGTTGGAAGGATGAGGTGGATCTCTGGCTCGCTTCAGAGTCAGCTAAAGGCTGAGCCGCGATCATGTCACTCAGTTTCTGCAATTTAAAAATACAACAATAACGTGTCAGAAATCCATTGACTTTTCATGTAGGGGACACAGATTTTAGTAAAAAAATTCACATGAGGATCTGGGCTTGTAACTCAAGACTGTATAGAAATAGTTTGAACTGTACAATTCTGCTACCCAACAATATGACTACACAACCTAAAGACGTTATCTGCTATCCAACAATATGAGGACGATGAAACACACACTCTCTACACTCGTTGTGTTGTACCAAATGGGGACGTCCACCAAAACACATCATGACTACACAACCTAAAGACGATATCTACTACCCAACAATATGAGGACGATGTAACACCACACTCTACACTCGTTGGGTTGTACCATATGGGGGACGTTCTCTGAAACACATCAAGACTACACAACCTAAAGACGATATCTTCTACCGAACAATATGAGGACGATGTAACACACACACTCTAAACTCGTTGGGTTGTACCATATGGGGACGTTCTCTGAAACACATCATGACTACACAACCTAAAACAAAATGAGGACATGACGACTGAAGTTACATAAAGTCAGTGTTCCTGACTTCTGAGGGTGTTGATGTTGTTCAAAAAAACCTGAAACCCCCATAGTAATAAGTATGGATCTACTTCCCTATTAATTAAATCATGTCAACTGATACACATTAGGTTTAAATTGGCAAATACATTGGCAAAGGAGACAAAACACAGAATTTAGGGGCAATAAAGATAATTTTCATGTTTTAAGAGGTAGTTACTGCTATCAAATGGTAGGGGTATATCTTTCCACTATGGTATTTAGAAACAACAGTCAGTCTTGACATTGTGAAAGTTTTTTCACAACACCTTTGTGTTAATGCAGTTAAAAGGCATTATATGTGTGCATTGGACTTGATTGAGACATGAATTTACCTTGTATAGAAATAGTCTACAGTAAATGTTTAATTACCTGTTGGAAGGATGAGGTGGATCTCTGGCTCCTTTCAGAGTCAGCCAAACGCTGAGCCGGGATCATGTCACTCAGTTTCTGCAATTTAAAATACAACAATAACGTGTCAGAAATCCATTGACTTTTCATGTAGGGGACACACATTTTAGTAAAAACAATTCACATGAGGATCTGGGCTTGTAACTCAAGACTCTATAGAAATAGTTTGAACTGTACAATATCTGCTACCCAACAATATGAGGACGATGTAACACACACACTCTACACTCGCCATTTGTTCCTCAATTAGCAAACATCTACATGGAAGAATGACAAAAAGTCAACAAGAACAAATAGAAATTACATTTCTAATTTATTTGTATCAATTATGTTTTATAAAATGGTATTATTTATTCTTTAATCATAACTTACTAACTCATGTTCTCACTAATGCAGGATCCTATTAGCTTGATAAGCTAACTGTTCAGTGCAAACCCTGGGCAACTGCAATTAGAATTGTTTAACTTCAAGTTACTTTAACACCTCAACAAATAATGTTACAAGAGCACAGACAAAGCGTCTTCAAAGGTAAATACTGTTATAAAATTACTAAACACGGTAAGCTCCACAAATAACATTACTTACTAGGTCTACTGAATATCTATCAATTTGGTGTTAAATTGGAAACCACTGTTACAATTCACATTTTAAAATAATATCTTGTGCTTCAGTAACAACATCTTAGAAAAAGTAATGAATTACCTCAATTTAGTGTGCAATCCTTCCAGTTCTGTCGAGAGAATCTTCCATGTGTCAGGGGTCCTTTGCATGCGGTTAGCTACGTTAAGCTAATAAGCTAACATTAGCTTATCTGGCTATTCGATGTAAATAAAAGTAATGATGGAATAACTAGTTCTCTAGATATAAGGCAGGTGACTAAAATCAGCAGTAATTAATTGTGGTTATTTTAGTTGTCTCCGAGTCCATGGAAATACATATATATTGCAGTAATACTAAAACCAGCTTAAAACATTGGAGTGTGTTTTGAACCTGAAAAATATGAGATTTATGAGGACCTTTTGAGTCACGTGACTAAAGTGTGTGAAAAGTGTGTTAAGTTCCAGAAGTGACCACTAGTTGGCGTATCATCGATGAGCACAATCCATAACACACTCACACACTTCATGTCATGAAATTGTGATATTTTAGGACGTGAAGATATTTGGTGTAGGGGCATTTGGGGAAGTTTAAAACACTGTAGTGAGTTCAGAAAAATGAGGGACGCCAAAAATGTCCTCATTTTCCAAGTGTCCTGATAGTGAAGGTGTGTTATCATAAAATTGTCCTTATTTGTCATGAAAACAAGTGCAACACACACACACACACACCCAACACACACACACACCACACACACAACACACCACACACACACACACACACACACACACACACACACACACACACACACACACACACACACACACACACCACACACACACACACACACACACACACACACACACACACACACACACACACACACACACACACACACACACATTATTTAACTATTTACTCATGAAAAATGTTGTTTATTGTCTTTTATTTTATGATGATTTTTGCAAGTCTCATCATCCATGCTGCAGAATAAAATCATGATGTTTATAAAACGACCACGGTGGGGTCTCAGCTGAAATGTTCTGAAGGTAACCCTCACCCTCAGGATGTTCCTCACCTCGGGGGAGAGGCTGCTGGTCTGGAGGATCTGAGTGGAGAACATCTGGTCTGCAGGACAAGGGAACAAGAGCAGAGGAATTTACTATATATATATATGTGTATATTTAACGTGTTGACACACACGATACGGAGGGGCGTCACAGAGGCTTTGTTGATGCTTTAGGTTAGTGTTGGAAAACTGTCGTACTTCTCACCAGAATTCAGAATATTTCAGAAATCCTGTTATAATGCTAACATAGATATATTTAACTCTACACTACCAGTATATAGGATGTGTGTGTTACCTGCTGCTGTGTGTATGTGTGTTATCTGCTGCTGTGTGTGTGTGCGTGTGTGTGTGTGTGTGTTACCTGCTGCTGTGTGTGTGTGTGTGTGTTACCTGCTGCTGTGTGTGTGTGTGTTACCTGCTGCTGTGTGTGTGTGTGTGTGTGTTACCTGCTGCTGTGTGTGTGTGCGTGTGTGTGTGTGTGTGTGTGTTACCTGCTGCTGTGTGTGTGTGTGTGCGTGTGTGTGTGTGTGTTACCTGCTGCTGTGTGTGTGTGTGTGTGTGTGTGTTACCTGCTGCTGTGTGCGTGTTACGTGCCGTAGTGTTTGTGTGTGTCTTTCTCTCTCTCCCTCTGATTCCCCAGGTGCAGCCTGATTGTCCCCAGGTGCAGCCTCTCTCCCAGGTGCTCCAAATCCCCAATCAGGGCCTCCATATAGGACCTGAGGAAGGCTGCAGTCGCTCTCCCTTTCTCCTCTGGCTGCATGGGTGCAGCACGTCGTCTTGGGTCTCTGTGTGGGACCTGGTTGTCTATTATTGTTGGATTAAATCTCATGTGTGAAAAAAGAGATCAGTTTCCTCTCTTTTTTCTCGTGCTGGTCGTTCTGTGTTTTGTTACTCCCCTTCGTACCCCTAGATTTTGGAGGGAACGTAACAAATGGGGGCTCGTCCGGTCTTTGAGACAAAGAGTGAGTATCTGTTTGTAGTTTAGCGTTGACATTGTGTTTGGTAGCATTGGCTGTGAAGTATCTTGCTGTTTAAAAGCTTCCTCAGTTTAGATAGGGGAGTGTCTAGCTGGGCTGAATCAGTCTTTCCTTCAGGCACTCATTTTTTATTTTGCCTTTTTTATTTTCGGGGTAATCCTGGGTGGGGATTTATTCCCTGTTGGGGGCAGGCGTTTCAGGGTTTCGGCCGCTGATGTTTGCCTTTAAAGTCGCCTCGAGCCCGGCACGCTCCAGAAGATAGTTAGGTAATTTTGGTAGGCAGGATCTGGGGAAGTTTGTTAAAAAAAAAAAAAAAAAAAAAAGAACAATTGTAAGTAGCCGTTGCTAAGGATGGCTTTTGTTTTGGAGCAGTTTGTGGCCAGTCCTACTGTGGGTCAGCTAGACTGGTGTAGGAAGGTTGATTTGCGGTTAGTTGCTGACCATTATCACGTTTCTGTCTCCTCTGCTCTTGTTAAAAGTGAACTCAAGGCTACTTTGCTAACGGGACTAGTTGAACAGGGGGTTTTGAGTTTGCCTACTTCAGTGGAATCTCCTGGAACGGTGGCCGGGGCTGTAGCAGCAGTATCTCCTGGTGGAGGCCGCGTTGGTGTTACTCCAGGTGTTCAGAGTGCTACGGAACAGGAAAAACTTTTCAACATGCCTCAGTTGGATTCGTTTTCGGCAGGGTCCTCACCTACGGGGTCTAAATTAGATGCCAGGATAAAGGTGCGTATGGCTCGTCTACAGTGGGAGAAGGAGCGTGATAGGGATTTTCAGCTCAGGAGGGAGCTGGAGATCAGGAAGGTGGAGCTGGAGATCAGGAAGTTGGAGGCAGACACTGATGTCCGGAGGGAGCTGGAGATCAGGAAAGTGGAGGCAGACACTGCTGTCCGGATGCGTCAGTTAGAGCTTCAGGCAGCTGGGGGGGGTGATTCTGCCGTTACATCTTCTGGTCCTGCTGCCTCCTTCGACGTGAGTAGGCATATTTCTTTGGTCCCTGTGTTTTGTGAATCAGAGGTGGAGATCTATTTTGGTGCATTTGAGCGCATTGCTGCTGCTCTGCGCTGGCCAGAAGACGTGTGGGCTATTCTTTTACAGTGTAAGCTAGTCGGCAAGGCTCAAGAAGCTTGCTCTTCTCTTTCTGTCGAGGATAGTTTAGTGTATGAGAATGTTAAAGGTGCTGTTCTCAGCCCATATGAGCTTGTGCCTGAGGCCTACAGGCAGCGTTTTCGCGGCCTGATGAAAACTTCTGGCCAAACTTATGTGGACTTCGCGAGGGAGAAGAAAGTCCTCTTTGACAGGTGGTGTAGAGCTTGTAAAGCTGACGACATTACTTCAGTGTGTGAGCTAATGATGTTAGAGGAGTTTAAGAACTGTGTGCCTGAGCGTACGGTAGTCTACCTGAACGAGCAGAAAGTAACTACCCTTCAGCAGGCTGCCACTCTGGCAGACGAGTTTGCACTGATACACAAGAGCGTTTTTTTCAGCGAGACACTTATCGTAGAGCTCCTGACAATTACGTTCCCTGTGTCAGTGCTCCAGTGTTAGATCCCAGGCTAAACAGAGCTTGCTTTTTTTGTCATGACCCAGGTCATGTGATAGCAGACTGTGCAGGTTGGAAGCGAGAGCAGACAGCGGCTGGCAAGCACCCAGAAGGGGTGGGATTGGTTACAGCAGTGTGTCATAGTGGACGGGCCACTGTTAACAAAGGGCCTGATGAGTGTTTGAAACCGTTCATCTCTACTGCTTTTGTCTCTCTGTCAGGAAAGGTGGAGGACCAGCGGCAGGTCACGGTGTTACGAGACAGTGGTGGCTCACAGTCGTTCATTCTTGCCAGTGTTCTGCCCTTGAGTGCTGAGTCTGCCTGTGATGCAAGTGCGGTGGTAAGAGGTATTGAGATGGGTTGTGTGCCTGCACCTCTTCACAAGATCCAGGTACAGTCTAAACTGGCTACTGGTTTCTTTCCAGTTGCTGTGCTGCCCAAGTTTCCTGTCGACGGAGTGGATTTCATAATGGGTAACGATATAGCCGGGGGTAAAGTGTATCCTACTGCTGAGGTTGTAGACGTTTCAATCCCTGGTGCTGCAGGTGGTGACCTAGCTCAGACTCATCCGGAGGTGTTTGCAGGTTGTGTTTTGACCAGAACTCGAGGTCCCAAGAGATTATGTTTCTTTTGTCTTGATCCTGGTCATCTAGTGGCAGGGTGTGTAGCTTGGAAGCAGCAGGTGGCAGCTTCCAAGCAATCTACGGAAAAGTCAAAAGACCAGCACCCAGACTACAATATCGTCATCAAGCACAAGAGGGGAGCAGATAATGTGGTGGCCGATGTACTGTACTGTGGGTGAGATTACGATTACGATGGGTCACGATTCATGTCCAATAGTCTGAGTGTTTTTGGTAACTGTGGCCAAACACTTGTTTTGGTTTTATGGGGGGGGGGGTGTTACGTGCCGTAGTGTTTGTGTGTGTGTCTTTCTCTCTCTCCCTCTGATTCCCCAGGTGCAGCCTGATTGTCCCCAGGTGCAGCCTCTCTCCCAGGTGCTCCAAATCCCCAATCAGGGCCTCCATATAGGACCTGAGGAAGGCTGCAGTCGCTCTCCCTTTCTCCTCTGGCTGCATGGGTGCAGCACGTCGTCTTGGGTCTCTGTGTGGGACCTGGTTGTCTATTATTGTTGGATTAAATCTCATGTGTGAAAAAAGAGATCAGTTTCCTCTCTTTTTTCTCGTGCTGGTCGTTCTGTGTTTTGTTACTCCCCTTCGTACCCCTAGATTTTGGAGGGAACGTAACAGTGTGTGTTACCTGCTGTGTGTATGTGTGTGTTACCTGCTGCTGTGTGTGTTACCTGCTGTGTGCGCGTGTGTGTTACCTGCTGTGTGTATGTGTGTGTGTGTGTGTGTTACCTGCTGCTCTGGTCGTCTGTGGAGCTGAAACAGAAACACATTTTATTTGTAACATTTGTAAAAAACATAAAGATCGAATTTCAAGATTTTTTCCAGTTTTCTGCGTTTTTTTGGAAAACGTTTTGGTCGGATTTATTAAGTATGCAAATTAGATATTTTAGGATTTTCTAAAGCAGTTGTATTACATATTTATTGCATTATTTTTGCTAAAACTGTTTTGCTCTCTGCGTTTCTACTCAAATTATTTACTTTATTATTTTATATTTCAATGTCCTCTGGAAGATATTTGCGTTTTTTTTTCATTGTATTTTTCTTTTGCGATATTTTAAGACTTTCATGCATTTTCACTTTTTTAGTAGGTTTACACTTCTGCCGATTTCACTGAAACTTTATTTGAGATTTTCATGAATTTTCTGCGTCTCCATTTTTTGTTGTTGTAATTTTTGCATTTTAGTGGACAGTGAAGGTATCCTAAAGGGGAGACCCCATGATGCCCCTCACCAGATTTGACTGTTTTCATCCAGAGTAACGACCCTCACCTCTCTCCACGCTCAGATCGATGTGATGTGCTTCGTCATTGAACCACCCGTAGATATCCACTCTGCATCCATATCGTCCTGCGTCTGTCTCTGAGACGTTGAGGACGGTCAGGGAAACGTCTCCGTCCTGCAGGCGACCCATAAACCGGTACCTGCTGGAAGCCCCGCCCCCAAACGTCACCTGGCTTCCGTCTGAAGCGATTAACTGGTTGTTGCAGCCGGAGGACGGGATGTCCCCCCCGACCCCAACACACCGGCCGGGCTTTGTTTGTCTTAATGTCATATTTACAGGTCAGAGTCACGTCCTGACCTGAGACACTCGTCACTCTGAGGCCAGATCCTCCAGAGACTGAGGAGACAGACACAGAGACAACAAATCAACAAACATCAAATCAACACTCAAACAGTGATCGCTGTCTGAGGACTTCACGCTGGGTTATCTGATACCTGCTGATCAAACCTGTTTATATCCATCACTGTTACCAACCTCCACGTTTCTGTATTACAGGTCTTAGCACTCAAGTCCATCAAGTCAATGAAGTCTCAAGTCCCAAGTTGAGTCCATAATTCAAGTCCAAAATTAAGACTGACAAGATTCAAATCAAGTCTCAAGTCAAGTCTTAGGACTCAAGTCCTAAACGAAATTGACAAGACTCAAATCAACCCCCAAATCTAGTCCCAAACTAAGACTGCAAAGTACCAATTCAAGTCCAAAATCCACAATGACAAGTCCTACATCAAGTCCCAAGTGACAACTGATGAGTCCAAAATGAAGTCTAACAAGTCCCAAAACAAGTCTGTGGTTCAAATCTAAAACAAACTTAAATCAAGTCTTAGATCCAGTCCATGCACTTTAGTATGAAACAGAGGAGAGCAGCAGCTCTCCAGATACACAGACACTGAAGAGACATGCCTTTAAATAACTATTAATAACAGCTTTAACATTAAGTTCAGCAAGTTGTTCAAAATATAATAAAATACTAAAAAATATGTATTTATTTCAACAACAGTTTACATGTTGCTCTTAAAGTTTCACTGTTTTAAATCATTTTAAATATTAAAAACATGACCTTCTGCTGGATCCCATGTAAACCATGCAGATGCGCCGGTGAAGATGGCCGCATCGTCTTTGTGCTCCTCTCCAACTTTGCCCATTTTCGTATTTTGTACATATTTATTTTACTTTTGCCGTTTTACTTTTAACATGGTTCGCAACATGCTAGCCGACCGCACCTACTCTGCCATACAATACAGCAGAGAGGAACTTCTTCAATTGCGAAACTTCGTGGACAATAATAACCCTCCGACAGACAATGGAGATTCACCATGGCTACCTGTTGCTGTTCTACCTGAGAGACGCAAGAAGAAGACAAAGCGTGGGTGCCGGGCCGGGATGCTGGTCAGACTGAGGAAACGAGAGAATCGACCCCCTCTTCCGAGTATTCTTCTGGCTAATGTTCAATCCATTGAAAATAAGCTAGATGAACTCAGAAGCCGGATTGCTTTTCAACGGGACATTAAGAACTGTAACGTGTTAATTCTCACTGAGACTTGGCTCAACCCCGCTATCCCGGACTCCGCCATTGTTCCTGATGGATTCTCTATTTTTCGTCAGGACCGGACTGCAAACTCGGGGAAAAGTAAGGGAGGCGGTGTGTGTGTGTAATGACTAACAACAACTGGTGCTCAGATGTGAAGATTATTTCATCGGACTGTTCCGCACATCTAGAGCATCTCATGCCGGGCCTTTCATCTGCCGAGGGAATTCACATCTGTTGTGATAACAGCAGTGTATGTCCCCCCGCAGCCGCTCGCCGACAACAACACGGCACTCGATCAGCTGTTTGGGATTATTGATAAAACCGAGACTTCACGGCCAGATGCGGCGTTCGTTGTGGCCGGAGATTTCAACACCGCCAACATGAAGAAGGTTTTGCCAAAAATATTACCAACACATCAGCTGCCCGACGCGCGGGGGAAACATATTGGACCATGTTTATTCCCCTTTCCGGAATGGATACAAGGCTCTCCCTCGCCCTCCCTTCGGCAAATCAGACCACATCTCACTACTGTTGTTGCCTGCTTACAAGCAGAAACTTAAAAGGGACAGACCGATAACAAAGACAGTACAACGATGGAGCGAGGAGTCAGATGCAGCACTGCAGGATTGCTTTGCATCTACGGATTGGAGTGTGTTTGAGGACGATAACATCAACACACACACGGACACTGTCATCTGCTACATTGGGAAATGCATCGATGACGTGGTACCGAAGGTTTCTGTACGGACATTCCCAAATCAAAAGCCCTGGATAAACTGCGAGGTGCGCTGCAAGCTGAAAGCGCGCACTATCGCGCACAGAGCTGGAGATTTGGAGGAGTACAGGAAGTCTAGGTATGATCTCCGGAGAGCAATTAACAATGCAAAGAGACAGTACAAAGAGAAGGTGGAATCTGACTTCAAAGGCTGTAACACCAGGAACATGTGGGCGGGACTAAGAACAATGACAGACTACAAAGGAGCAGCGGGGGGTGCTGCGGGAGTGTCTGCGTGCGCATCTCTCCCAGATGAGCTAAACAGGTTTTTTGCACGCTTTGAGAGCAGCCGGGCTGTGGAGGTACAGAGGGACCAGGAGCCCTGCCCTTTTGTTTTAAACAGGGCAGATGTGTGTAAATCCTTTAAAAGGGTTAACCCACACAAGGCTCCTGGACCTGATGGCATCCCTGGCCGTGTTCTCAGGGTGTGTGCAGTTCAGCTGGCAGAGGTGTTCACAGACATCTTCAACAGGTTCCTGTTGCAGTCTGTAGTCCCCACATGCTTCAAACATTCCACTATCGTTCCTGTCCCCAAAAAGACAATAATCACCTGCCCCAATGACTACCACCCAGTAGCACTCACCTCCACCGTAATGAAGTGCTTTGAGCGGTTAGTCAAATCATTCATCACCTCCTCCCTCCCTGAATCTCTGGACCCCCTGCAGTTTGCCTACAGAGCAAACAGGTCCACAGACGACGCCATAGCCCTCACCCTCCACACTGCCCTCTCACACCTGGACCCGAAGAACAGGAACACATATGTGAGAATGCTGTTCATTGACTACAGTTCAGCATTCAATACCATTGTGCCCTCCAAGCTGGCCATCAAGCTCAGAGACCTCGGGCTCAACAGCGCCCTCTGTGACTGGATCCTGAACTTCTTGACGGGCAGACCCCAGGCAGTGCGGGTGGGAAACATCACATCCTCCACCCTGATTCTCAACACCGGTGCCCCTCAAGGCTGCGTGCTCAGCCCTCTCCTCTACTCCCTGTTCACCCACGACTGCGTGGCCACACACAGCTCCAACACCATCGTGAAGTTTGCTGATGACACGACCGTCATCGGCCAGATCACAGACGATGACGAGACGGCGTACAGAGAGGAGGTCGAAAACCTGACATCTTGGTGCCAGGATAACAACCTCCATCTCAACGTCAGCAAAACAAAAGGGCTGATTGTGGATTACAGGAAGCAGCAGGGAGAGGGACACGCCCCCATCGCCATCAATGGGACTACGGTGGAGAGAGTCAGCAGCTTCAGGTTCCTTGGGGTCCACATCACTGAGGACCTGACATGGACTCTTCACACCACCACCATCACCAAGAAAGCTCGACAGCGGCTCTTCTTCCTCCGCAGGTTGAGGAGGTTCAACATGGACTCCAGGATACTCTGCAACTTCTACAGGTGCACCATAGAGAGCATCCTGACCTTCTACAGGTGCACCATAGAGAGGATCCTGACCTTCTACAGGTGCACCATAGAGAGGATCCTGACCTTCTACAGGTGCACCATAGAGAGCATCCTGACCTTCTACAGGTGCACCATAGAGAGCATCCTGACCTTCTACAGGTGCACCATAGAGAGCATCCTGACCTTCTACAGGTGCACCATAGAGAGCATCCTGACCTTCTACAGGTGCACCATAGAGAGTATCCTGACCTTCTACAGGTGCACCATAGAGAGCATCCTGACCTTCTACAGGTGCACCATAAAGAGCATCCTGACCTTCTACAGGTGCACGATAGAGAGGATCCTGACCTTCTACAGGTGCACCATAGAGAGGATCTTGACCTTCTACAGGTGCACCATAGAGAGGATCCTGACTGGCAGCATGACGGCCTGGTACGGCAGCTGCACCGCCCTCGATCGTAAGGCTTTACAGAGGGTGGTGAAAACTGCACAGCACATCACCAGGACGGAGCTGCCATCCATGGAGGACCTTTACTCCCAGCGGCTCAGGAAGAAATCACTACGGATTATCAAAGACCCCCATCACCCCAGCCACAAACTGTTCTTTCTGTTGCCGTCTGGCAGACGTTACCGCAGCATCCTGGCAAGGACAAGAAGATTCGGAGACAGTTTCTTCCCGCGGGCAGTGAGACTGTTAAACAACTGAACTGTTGAAACAACTTCAAAACATTCATCTGCTACTCAGTATTATGTATCTA